CCATCATTGTAACAACAATTTTGCACATGCTTTATGAAATATAAACACTATTAGTTTTTTTTTTTTAGATACTACCCTCTCCCCCCAACTAAAACGAGACATTGTCCTCAATGTTCTAAGGTAGAAAAATAGAGTATAGAAGATATCACCTGAAATAACGAACACTGACAAACCTGAAACACGCTGAACAAATATAAGAAATAACAAAACACAATAATAAAACCAAAAGACACAAAGATTCACACATGAAGGTTCAAATCAAATCTAAGCTTTTGACGACTTTCCTTAGTTGACCAATTTATGCGACTCATGGAAGGATCAATCACAGGAATGAAAGATTGTAGTTGGTCAATCAATTGTTCAGCAGTAGCAGCAGAGATTATGATTTGTCGTGCAGAAAATGTTAAAAATTCCTGTTCCACAGCATGATCAAGAAAAGACAACAACTTATCATAATAACCATTAACATTTAACAAACCTATGGGTTTATGGTGAATGTGCAATTGAGCCCAAGAGGAAATATGAAAGATCTCTTCCAATGTGCCTAGACCACCTGGTAAAGCAATGAAAGCATCAGCATGGTTAAACATTGCATTCATTCGAGCCGACATTGTGGAGACCTGAAGTTCCTCTCCAATTGTTTTTCCAATGATGTCCCCTTGTGCCAAAGCTTCAGGGACGACCCCCAAAACTTGACTACCTTCTAAAAATGCAGCTATTGACACATCTTCCATTAATCCCAGACTACCTCTCCTATACACTAAATGAATCTTTCTCTCAGCTAGCAACTGACCATGATGATTTGCTGATTCTAAAAACTCCTTTTCTTTCCTAGGACTAGATCCACCGAAAACACAAATATTTCTTATCTGATGACCTGAGGAACTTGCCATTTCTACATACTTCTATTTTCGTTGAATGTAAGGGTTGAGTATAAATGAAAGGAAGGAAGAGAGGATTTTATAGATGAGAAATTGAAAAGGCAATCATACCACTTATATGTAGGCTAACTGAAGTCTCTCTCACACGCTCTCCCTTTTTATTTATTTATTTATTTACTTTTGAAAAAAAACATGTGTATGTACAGGTAGTTGTGATTGTGGCTCACATCTTCCCTTGGTTTTACGGCCAAGAA